AATTTATAGGTCTCACACGGCCTGGTGGTTACGGCGCTCGATATGCAACTTGAGGATCGTGAGTTCGAATTCTTGTCACCGAACATGCCCGCCCTTTCAGCCGTGTGGGTGTTATAAGGTGACGGTTAATCCTACTATTCGTTGGTAAAAGAGTAGTCCAAGAGTTGGTGGGGGATGGTTTTGACTAGCTGCCTTCCCTCTAGTCTATCATTACTAAATTATGGACGGCTAAAGCAAATAGCCATTGTGTGGGTTTTCGCGAAATTCAAACTAAACTAAACATGATGGGTAATACTTCACGGCTAGAAACCGGATTTCGATACCCGTGGTGGGCAGAGCACAGATAGACCTTGTATAGGTTTGCGCGAAATTCAAAATAAAATAAATATGATGTGTAATACTTCACGATTTTCAACAAAGTTTCCTTTTTCTCCATTAGGTATTGGTTTTGTGTATATTGTGTGTCTTATCAATTCATTTTTTATCTCGCTAAACAAATACAGAAAGAACCTTGGATCGCATTAAACAAACATATTAGACATAGCTCAGTTTTGTAAATTAATTGTAGTATTATTTATTGAAGTAAATTTCTCAGTTTTCATAATTACAAATAAATAAATAAATGACAATACAAGAATCTTTTTTCCAACATTAAACATGGATCGATAGCCATATACAAAAATAAAAACATATTAGACATAGCTCAGTTTTGTAAATTAATTGTAGTATTATTTATTGAAGTAAATTTCTCAGTTTTCATAATTACGAAATACAAATTTAGCTGATGTGATGACCAAAATAGATTATTTTAACAGAAAGGTTGGAGAGTTTAAACAAACAAATGTTTATAACTTCTTAAAGTCAGGTTTCTTTTTCAGTTCAATAACTTATTTGCGTGTACGTTATTTTATTTCATTTAATACGCAAATGTGATAAGTTTTCACACCACGATTCCCTGTTATTTCTAATTTCCAGTTTGTGTTTCTTTAGAAAATGATCTTATTTTATAAAGTAAGATTTGAAATTTATGACGATATTTTGTTCAACTGTGAAAGAAAAATTAACGAACATTATTTTTTCACACTTTTTCAGGAATAAGTGGCAGTAGTGGATTACATAAACATCCTTGGGAATTCCTCATTCTTCTCCTCATGGTTTTGTGGCATTCCTTTTAGTGTAAAACTAATCCAGGTGTTATACGGAAATTATAGGTGCTCTGGTAGCATGTTGAGAAGATAAATATTTATTTCGTGTATTTATCAAAAGAATTATCATAAGTATAACCTTTTAAAGAAGTAAAATGGAGTGATCTTAAGTTGTCTTATTTAATTTTACGATGTGATGTCATAAAATAATACTTTTTTTTCCCTTTATTATTAAGACAAAAAATTAAGAACAACATAATCAGACAACTTGTGCGTCAGATTACTGTGTTAAAATTATGTATTGATGTTCCGTGCACAAGACCTTTTTGAACACATCGGTGAAAACGTTTTCAATTTGAAAATGAAGAAAACTCTAACTCTTTTTCTTCAGAATAGCAGGGGAACTGTGTTACCGGTAATTCAAGGAAATATCTGGTCTCTATTCTGATTTCATCTCTTCAGTGTTCCCCATAAAGAATATCCTATATGTTTGAAATCATACTTTTAAATAAACCGAGAAATGACGACGTTATGCTTTTTTCTCAAAAATTAATCTAGTTCTTGAGACCTACTGACCTGAAAACACATGACTGACTGTGATATTTCTACGTCCTTCCCTATGTCTGTTGGTGTTGTTTACTTGAATACACCAGCAAGAAGTATCGCTCACAGGAAAAAAACAAACAGGAAAATATTATTCAGGTTACGATTAACATAAGTATCTTATCAAAACGTACCAGTGCGAAAAGATAACGTAGATAGAAATTTCATGCATTGTTTTCCTCCTACCTAAATTTCCTCTAATGTTATACTGCCTACAAAAGATGTTTTGCTTCCTAAGTAAGCCTTTAGACCATATTTTTCTAATCTCTTTCCACGAACTAGAGTGTCTTTTTATGTAATATCATTCTGACCAATACTTGCTATAAATATTACTTGAAAAATATCCTAGTTTTTAAAACGAGGGTGGTAAATTGTTAGTTAGTTGCAATAAAGTTATATTGTGTGTATGAAGAGTTAGGGTGGTGTAATAATTTATTTCGTATTGTGACTAATATCTCAATATATGTCATATTCTGAATAAATAACAGTGTCAAGTAAAAACATACATATAAGATAAAATAAGATGATCTGAAAAGCGTCCCTTTTTCTTCAAACTACACAAGTTGTAATATCTAACTTGTTATGTCAAATGCGAACGTTCGTGTTATTTTGAAAACCTTGTAAAATCCTCAAAATTTTTAAATACTATAGGTGTTATAAACTTTAAAGTGGCTGTTGTTTATACATATTTTCTATATGAATAAAGTACGTGAATGTTAAATGTAAAAGAAAACAATAGTAGAGCCTTTGCTAACTAATCTAAATGTAAAACAGCAACATTGTCTTTGAGCTTACGTGTAATTTTGTTTCGTGTAAGTTCATCTGTTGGAGGTTTTCAAAACAAAAACAAGTGAATTGATTGTTTCATAACCCTATATGATCTTCTCAATATTCTCATTGTTTTTCGAGGTGTATAAAAATCTTATAAATTTGTAAGTTAAATATAATATGATTTATATAATACTGAGTATCTGATGTGTTTAAAACAGAATTACACTTCCATATGAGAAGGCCTTACGATCTTGTGTTGTTGTTGAAAAAATAAATTAATCGAATTTCAACTTGAGAGAGTTTCATTTTTTGAAAACACGTGGTACAGTTTGAAAAAATCGATTTTATTTCGTTACAAAATTTTCGAAAAATCTTTTTTTTTCGGTTTCACTAGACGAAATTCCATCAACGAAATCCTTGAAACATAAATAAATATATACGTGTGTGTGTATATATGGAAGAAATGAAGCTGTATTTATTTCGCGCTTTCCTAGTTTTCTTTAATTATCTTCAGTATATAAACAAAAATTTGGCTTTGGAAGAAAAACAAAAACTTCATATTAGCTGCTGAATTATATGATAGTTATTCAATCTGTATTTGAGATCTTGGAAAAAGTTTTAAAACTTTTACGCTCTTGAGTGTTATTTTCACGGTATGCAATTTGGTCTTTCGCTTAGAAAAGTTGTTTGCGATACAACTAAAGTTATAAACAAAATATTCTATTTAGCTTTAAAATATTATTAAAGACATATAACACTAAAATTTCAGGTACGATCCCACCGCATACATGCCACAGTTTGCATATATTTGCTCAAAGACAAACAAACGTATAGACAAAAAAATTGTTAACAAATTGACAAGAATTCGAACTCACGATCCTCAAGTTGCATATCGAGCGCCGTAACCACCAGGCCGTGTGAGACCTATAAATTTGTAAGTCTAATTAAAAAACTAAAGTTTGTATTTTGAATCTTTCTCTTTTTTCTTGTATTTTTGAAACATTAGCTGTATTAGTAATATATGTATACATATGTTTAGACAAAATAAACTTACCAATTAAATATCAATTTATATATATTATATATATCGAACATGCCCGCCCTTTCAGCCGTGTGGGTGTTATAAGGTGACGGTTAATCCTACTATTCGTTGGGAAAAGAGTAGTCCAAGAGTTGGTGGGGGGTGGTTTTGACTAGCTGCCTTCCCTCTAGTCTATCATTACTAAATTAGGGACGGCTAAAGCAGATAGCCATTGTGTAGGTTTGCGCGATATTCAAAATAAAATAAATATGATATGTAATACTTCACGATTTTCAACAAAGTTTCCTTTTTTCTCCATTAGGTATTGGTTTTGTGTATATTGTGTGTCTTATCAATTCATTTTTTATCTCGCTAAACAAATACAGAAAGAACCTTGGATCGCATTAAACAAAGTAATAACATAAACATTATTGTAGATATTAAAAATTATCATGAACTTCCTTTTCCCGGACACTTTTCTTCAACATAATGAGGCTGATGTTGTTGTTGGATGCTTCCGTAGGAACACTTGTATTCCACATAATGAAGCCAGTTTTGAAGTTGTATGCTTCTTTAGAAACACTTGTATTCAACATAATGAAGCCGATTTTGAAGTTGGATGCTTCCGTAGGAACACTTGTATTCAACATAATGAGGCTGATGCTGTTGTTGGATGCTTCCGTAGGAACACTTGTATTCCACATAATGAGGCTGATTTTGAAGTTTTACGATTCTTTAGGAACACTTGTATTCAACATAATGAAGTCGATTTTGAAGTTGGATGCTTCCGTAGGAACACTTGTATTCAACATAATGAGGCTGATTTTGAAGTTGTATGCTTCTTTAGGAACACTTGTATTCCACATAATGAGGCTGATTTTGAAGTTTTACGATTCTTTAGGAACACTTGTATTCAACATAATGAGGCTGATGTTGTTGTTGGTTGCTTCTTTAGGAACACTTGTATTCAACATAATGAGGCCGATTTTGAAGTTGGATGTTTCCGTAAGAAAACCTAAAATGGAAAATCTACTCATTTTCATCTTGCCAGCAAATCATCTTCAACTAAGAAATTTTCATCATCAGAGAAATACTTTAACATTTTTATTGAGTTGTGTTTTCAAAAGTAAATTCTTATTTAAAAATATTTTTTATTAGGAAGATTTTTTATTTTATTTTGAAATCACTAATTGTTTATAAATAGACTTGTCATTTGTGTTAAGCAAGTTAAATTAGTTATACCACTAGATGTCTCTGATAAAGACTTGTTGAACATGCTATATTCTCATGGTATCTTTTCACACGCACACCTATACAAAGTGAATTTTACGCTCTTTTGAGGATATTTTCTAAATTTCCAGTGAACAAATACTACGTACTTAAAAGTTTGATGAAAGCAACGCGTTATGCCTGGCTATTATTACAGAGTAGTCCTCTAATATAGTTATTGATAATTACGAAAATATATAATGATTTATTTTTTCTTAAGTTCTGAATTATACCCGATGCTCGTGTGAAAAGTTAATAAACAACTATTATCAAGATATTTAAGTCGAGTGATTATTGTGTTGATACAATGTATCTGTACTTTTCATTTACTAAGACTATCTGCTGCCGTCCTTAATTTTGAACTACCGACTAGAGAGAAGACAGCCAGTCAGTAGCCCCTACCACCCACGTCCCACGTTGAGGGATTGACTGTTACTTTTATAGCGTATTCACAGTTTAAAATTCGTAAAATATTTTGTGTACCGCACATATTCGAGCCTGGTTCGTCAGTTCCAAATCCAGAACTCTACTACAGAGTCAACCTGTGCTCGAAGTGAATCGTAAGAGCTCATCCACATAAATCTTTCTTTTGTGTTTTACTTTAGGATGAGTATACAGATTAATTTGTATTTAAATTACATTTGAAGTTTAATTCGAATAGCGTAAAGGTAAAAGGAGTAACGAATTCTTTTTATTATCTGTTATATCTCAACAGAGTATTTTATTAATATTTTTACTTTAGAATGTATATATACAGATTAATTTATATTTAAATTACATTTAAAGCTTAATTCCAATAGCGTGAATGTAAAAGGAATAACGAATTATTTTTATTATATGTTATATCTTAACAGAGTATTTTATTAATATTTTTACTTTAGAATGTATATATACAGATTAATTTATATTTAAATTACATTTTAAAGCTTAATTCCAATAGCGTGAATGTAAAAGGAATAAAGAATTATTTTTAATATATGTTATATCTTAACAGAGTATTTTATTAATATTTTTACTTTAGAATGTATATACAGATTAATTAATATTTAGGTTATTTCTAAAGCCTAATTCGAATAACGTAAAGAGAAAAGGAGTATGCAGTTTTGTGTGTTATATTTTATTTCTTTACAAAGTATTTTTCAAATATTTTCACATTAAAATTAAAACAAAATTCACATATATATATGTGTGTGTATATATTCAGTTCTATAGCTATCTTTAGATGAAAAACTATGCTTATTTCTATCTGCCTGTTACTACACCGAATAATTATGCTTTCAATGTTGATGCAGCTTTCTGTAAAAACAGCTCCCCATTCACTTTGTTCATTAATGCTTCATTTTAGCTCCAGTCCACAAACCCTTTAGTGTCTGATGAAGACCTCATGTGGTCTTTAATGGAAACGCTTCAATCGCTTATATATTGAATAATACGCATTTCCTTCTCGGTTTATAATTTACAACTCCAAGGAACATAATTTGACTTTCTAATAAGATCATGCGATTTAAGACAAATATATATACTTGATGAAGTCCTAATCAATTAACTCATTTTCTTATTCGACTTAATCTTTTTATCCTTTTTAATACCTCCCACCCATTGTTCACTATCAAAGTTAAGTTAGGCTTTGTGTTACAAATGTGTAACCCATCATGGATATTTATTGTATCTGCTAAATAATTATCGTATAAGCTAGATAATCGGATGTCACCGGCCAGAAAAGCACTTTAATCTGTTGAAGCTTACGTTAAGATATTGTTCATATTAAAGAAAAATCAAAATGAAAACCAAGCCATAAAAGTTAATGTGAAGAAACAAATGTTAATATTCTACAAAGCAGCATAAAAAAGAATTAGCATTTCCACCTCTGATGCTACTAGAATATCTGATTTACATACATTTTGAAAATTAATTAATTAATATTATTTATAGTCATTAGTCATGTATTCTTTGAATGTACATTTTAAACATGAGATAAATCAAAAGCCTTTTCCATTATACTCATTTACATGCAAACCTACTTTTGATTGAATTTCCATTTTAACATTGCTTTCTTGCAAATTTTCCAATTAAACCCTCTTATCCTGTTTATTTTTTAAATTATTTCCCAACGTCAGACAGTTGAAAGACTTAACGGGAAAGCTCACTTCTATAACCTTAATTTGGACATTCTCATAATAAGTGCTTTCACTAAAGAACATACAACACCAATGTTACTTTAATTCATTCAAACAAATCTTAGCCGTGTGTTAATGAATAGTACTACTCACACTAATGGTAGGAAACCTTTATACAGTATTTTCAATCAAGTGATCAAATCTCTAATGATATCTAATCTCAGTTTATTCATTTTTGAACCTATTGAAATTCTCTACTGTATTAAATTTGTTTATGTGATTTCAATAAAGTGTGTTCGTCAAATACATTGAAGAATTCATAACTTCGTAATTGGATACAATATATTATTTGATAATTTATATACATAACTTTTCAATGTAGAAGAAAATTATAATATAGACAAAATATATTGCATCAGTATATATATATATATATATATACATTTAAGTTTCGAAAGTTAATTCAACAGTTTGTGTACGAGTCTACTGTTCAAATGATGTAAACATCCAACTGATATGTTATCAGCGCCATCTTTATATCAGGTTAGGTTTGGTGAAAGATATACA